CTCAGTTTTTCGCTGAGTGGACCTATACTGGTTATACTGTGGTACTAGCAAGTGCAGCACTTGGTAGCTAAGTGCAATTTTTGATTGGTTTTCTGCCTTTCTGCATTCTGTTTTTGGCTTCAATGTGAATCCTCTCTAAGGGTGCGTTCCCACTGAACGCGTCACGATTAATTGACAAAAATATTTCATTTTATCATCATTTGCCGCGCGACTCCTTGAGCAACGCATCGATTAGGTTACTCGACATTTTAGAGATAAAATAATCTTTTTTTGTATAAAATCCTGGATCGCGCAGCAAATAAAATGGGATGTTTTGATTGGTCAATTTGGAAGCGAACGCGTGACGCGCTCAGTGGGAACGCACCCTAATAATTAAATATATTCATTGAGAGAATTTATTTTTTTCAACGTTGGTAATCGGAAATCTGGTGACTTTTATTGCATGAGGTACAGTCATGGTGGAAGGTGTTATACTTCCACCATGGGTACAGTACGAGGTTCGCACGATCAATCTGGAGTCGATTAATCTTTCATCCGTTGAACTTTATTTGGCTTTTCTTTTCATCAACTAAAATTGTGGAACAGGATATCTGTATTATCTATATTATTGAATTTTTTATAAAGTTATCAGGTAAATAACTATCTTTTTATGCTATTTTCTTAGTATAATTTTATAATGAATGGTAATATGATTCTAACTTAACCTTGAAACTTAATGTAATTTTTACGAAAACATTTATTTTTCGTCTTTATGACTCTTAATTAATTTGTTAAAACATATTTACGACATATTATGTTTATTACAAAGAAATTATAATATGGTCATATCTGTTCTTTTTATCCATACGTCTTTTTACATTTTGTACAGAGAATTATGTTTGTAATTTAAAATAAAAGAAGTTCATTTTAGATAATTTGGGAAGCATGCGGGGAACATTTAACCTTTTTTCTTACTCAATTTCACTTGTTGTATCCGAAAACCGTAGCTAAAATTATCTTAGTATCCAGGAAATATTTTTTGTTCATATTTTAAACAGAAAAAAAGTAGTGATTGATTTTATCACTTTGTTGAACCATGTCTGCAAATTTTTCTTTGTTTTTATAAAAATATGTTTTGATGTTATCTAAGCTCTCAATTCTTCTTCATCAGGGTTTGAGAATCTGCAAGTTATCTTAAGTTATGTATACATTTTAAGGTTTGCATCGAAATATCTCGAGAAGTATAAAAGATGCAAAACAATGTTTCAGATAAAAATTATATTGTCTGAAGGAGGACAAATAATGATATAAATAATTTTTGAAAAAAATCAATTTATCAGGGTCAATATAAAGAGTAACACCATTTTTCTATATCAAATTATATAATTTTGTTTACATAGTATAATTCCTTTAATTATTCTGCTTATAAAAATATTAACATAAAACTATTCAAAATTCAATAGTTTACGAGATATTTTATATTTTATTATATATATTTTATACTTCGACATTATATGAAATATTTTATAAACTATTGATTTCTTGATAATTGTACTTTAATACTTTTATGCACAAAATAATAAGATTATTGATTGGTGTAAAGAAAGCACTCAGTTAAAAAAAAAAAAATATGTAGTTCTATATTGTAAATTGCATATTTTTTTAATAGCTACTAAGTATTTTCTTTACAATTGATTTGTCTCATTATTTTGTATATAAAAGTACTAAAGTACAATTATTAAGAAATTAATAGTTTATGAAATATTTTATATTACGTTGAAATATGGCATAATAAAGTATAAAATATCTCGTAAACTATTGAAACCTTGATGAAAAAGGATGAGGGCTTAAGTAACATCAAATTATCAAAACATGTTTTTATAAAAATGAAGAGAAATTTGCAGACATGGTTCAACAAAGCAATATAATTAATCGCTGCTTTTTCTGTTACTTTAAAATGTAAGAAAAAATATTTTCTGACTACTAGAATAATTTTAACTACGATTTTCAGATTCAGCAAGTGAAATTGAGTAAAAAAAGGTGAATTTAACGTTCTTCGCATGCTTTTTAAATCGCCTAAAATGTATGAATTCCTTTCTGAAAGAAAAAAGATAAGAAAGTACAGAAGCTAAAAAGAAGAAATTTTTGTCCATATACAGGATCAAAGAAACACTTCAGAAAATTATAATTGAAATATATTTTTATGTATAAATACATATGTATAACATATATATAAATATATATATACATAGTTTATTTTATATAAAATTATTGTATATACAAAGTGTTCCAAAAACTCTTAATTAATATTTCAAGGTGTGAAAGAAACTGAAATTTTGAATTAAAAGTTCCTTTATCAATTTTGGCTCATTGTCAGACCATTTTTTATTTACAGAGTTATTAACGAATAAAGTTAATCAATTAGATTGCGCTTAGCCGAAGTACAAAGGAGCATAGTATGCCATGTGGCTCTTTGTGGTTACTTCTCTCGATTAAAATTTTATTCTATATAATTTTTCATATTAATAAATAAGCAAATGAATAAATCAATAAATAAGGTAGATAAATAAATAAATAAACACACAAATAAATAAATAAGAATAAATTACAGTTCAAAATTTATCTAATTTAAATAAATTACAGTTCAAAATTTATCTAATTTCTGATTGTTTTTATTCTTATTTATTATTTACTTATTTCAATAAGGAAAAGTTTAATGGTCAAGAATTTATTAGAACTTTTACTTATTTATTAATATGAAAAATTAGAATAAAATTTTAATCGAGAGGAGTAAGTCGCACGGCATGATAGGCTCCTTTATACTCCAGGTAAATGCGATCTAATTGATTAACTTTATTCGTTAATAACTCTGTAAATAATGGTCTGAGCCAAAATTGATAAAGAAACTTTTAGTTCAAAATTTCATTCTCTCACACCTTAAAATATTAATTAAGAGTTTTGGGACACCCTGTATACACAATAATTTTACATAAAACATACATACATATATAGTTATATATTTATTTATTTATTTATTAGATAGCAAAATGATAGGAATATGTCAACAATATGCCAATAAATTTGATAATTGTAGAATAGATTCCTGTGTTTCTCTTTAAACTTAATTTCTGTCATAATTTATAAACTATAAAGTAACAGAAATAGCAGGAATAGAGTTTACACTTTGCCATCAAGAGTTTGCTTGTTTTCTGGTATATTTCTAGCAATATCAGAAATACAGTAAATTGTGCTTGACTATTGGTAAATTTTTATTAATACTATAATATGCAACACATAATACATATTCTTGGCAAGTTTGATTATTTTGATTTTTAAATAAATTTTTTTATGCATAATAAGAACGTGTAATATTTTATATAAACATATATGAAATATTACACATAGTATATAAATATATATATATGTAAAATATTACACTATAAAATAACTTTTTTAAACATAATGAGAACGAGAGTGATTATTTTCCATAATTTTTGGACGCTGAATATAATTTCGTTTATGAAATATTTCTGTTATGTCACAATTTTGTATAATTTACGACTAAAGTTGCAGAAAGCCATTTTAGTATAGTATTTTGGTATTATTATATTATTATATTATAGTGTTATATTATATTATTATATTGTAGTATATTATATTATTACTACATTACTGGTGTATAACTATGGTGATATTGAAGAAATTTTATTGTAATCAAAACATGTTTGTTAGTATTTTTAATTTGTAAAAAGAATTTGTTGTGCCAAATATAGCTAGAAAGATATTTATGATCAATAGGGTTTATTGTATCAAAATTGTGTAGATTATTAAAGATCTATCAAATATTTTACAATTATGTCCTTCATATGTACAGATTTTTTAGGTTGCTGAATACTAATCCTACAACACACACGCACACGCCCACGCCCACGCACACGCACATGCACACGTACATGTACAGTACACACACACACACACACACACACGCACACGCACACGCACACGCACGCG